GGGCTACCTTACCTTTGCCCCTTTCATGAGCTAGGTTTTTCAGCTCTCTCACTAGGACAGCTGTGGCTTGTAGCACTTTTGCCAGTCCTCTGGTCTGTGGATCCTTGGGAGTCTTCTGGTTGTTTAAAACCTTCTTAGCTATGGCTACTAACCGAGTCAGTTGCTTACCTGCAAAGTTGTCCAGGCGCTGAAGCTTCCGATGGATGTCAGGGGCAGCTTGGTTAACAAAAGCCATGTTTACAGCTGACTGATGTTCTCTAGTTTCTGGGTCAAAAGAAGTGTAGGTCCTATAGGCTTCAACAAGTCTTTCTAGATATTCCCTGGGGTTCTCATTCTTTCCCTGCATCATCTCGCTTACCTTAGAAAAATTTGTGGGCAGCCTGGAGGCCCCCCCATCAGAATCTGGCAGTAGACCCAGAACCTCACCCTATCTTCAGCAGTGTTAAAATTCCAGTCAGGTCAAATCAAAGGAAAGGTTGTATCAGTATCATCCTGGACTCGGGTGGGCAGCCCATTTGCCCTCAGAATCAATTTCCATTCAGGCAGCTCCCACAATCCTCTCTTTCCTCTGTCATGAGAAGGACCTGGAGTAGTTGCTGATAGTCATCCCAGGTGCCCAGGTGAGTCAGCATGACTGAATCGAGAAGACCTGTGAGAGCTGATGGTCTTTCTGAAAATGGGAGATCTCCGTAATCTCCAACTGTAAAGTTCATTACTGGTAAATGACACATATGTCATGAACGGTCTCCCCTGAGCATCTGGGGGTCCCATAGCCTGGAGGGGTAAGGCTGTAGTAGAGTTGACCTCTCTGAGCAGTACAGGCCTGAGTGTGAGGTGACTCCTAGTGGAGTCAGGAGAATCAGGGGATGCTCCTCCCTCTGCCTGTGCTGGCTGTGGAGGGGGAGTGACGAGGAGCAGGAACATAAGGAGGGGGACAGAGAGCCTCCCCAGGAGAATGGGGAGCAAGGCAGGGCACTGAAGCTGACCCTCCTTTAGAGAAAGAAGGGGAGAGAGTGATGAGGCTGGTGACAAAGAAGGTCTCATCCATACAGGGAACTTCTTGACCAGGTATTGCCATATAGTGATATATGGCACTTGATCCAGGTGGCCCCTGGCCTCATAAAACTACAGCCTTCATCCTGTAAATGGTGGGGAAGTGGAAAGTTCCCTCCTCAGGCCATCCTACTTTATAGGTAGGTCATTCATTCCTGCAAAAGATGGTTAGGTTGAGGGAACGAACAACCAGACAGACTCTTCTGCAACAAGGAGAAAGTCCTTAAAATGGTTCAGGACCAAGCCAGTGGGAATCAAAGAAAAAATCCTAAGGAATCAAAGAAAAAATGTGTATGAAAAGACAAAAAACACAGAGAACACACACAGACAGGCACAGAAGGACATTCCCAGGAAAACAAAAACAAACCAAAAAGGCTGTCTCAGACAGTCTTTCTTCATGTGCATGGGAGGCCCACAGACCCATAGCTGGTTCAGAAATCAGAGAACTAGCAAGTTCTCCTGCTTCTGGTAGGGGGTCGGGAGGAACTTGCCCAGTGACAAAATATCAATCCACTTTGTCCCTCTCGGCATCCAGATTATACCAGAAACAGAAGCACAGATAGACAAGATAAAAGACAACTGAGTGTCAGGATTTCCTGATCGGAAAGACACTCCACTATTTGGGTTGGGGGTCTCCAGTGAATCCCAGATGAGACCAAAAATGTAAAGGTCCATGATCCACTGGAGAATGATACCCCAGACTCAAATAGTATGCAAAAGCAAAGAGTGTTTTATTCTGCAGAAGTTCACCATGTGAGGGGTCTACCATTTGTCAAGATGGAGACGTTCAGCTGGGCCCAATTTAAAGCATATTAGGGGAATTCCAGGGAGTGATAGGTGACCTTCATTTTAATTGGTTGGTTCAATCTCTAAGGGTGTAGGGGTCTTTGGGATTGGCTCTGGGGACATTCCAGAACCACTGCTGGGATGTGCGTGGGGGAGGGTTAGAAACTGTTGTGAGGAGCCTGCAAACAGTTACTGACTCACTGACTCATTGCCCTTGCCTCAGGCCCGGTGGCAGGGCAGCTTCTGATGGAGGGGCAGTTTCTGATTGGCTGCCCATGGTCTGGGGTTCCCCCCACCCCACCCCAACTGACTTTCTGGACTTGTACAGTTCCAGGAAACAGATCTAGGTCCATTCTCCTGGACTGCCAGTTGGAAGCCTGTCATGAAGTCAGCCAGTCTCAGTCCTCTCACCTGGTGGTAGTGAGCCAGGCCTGAGGGTGTGAGCTCCAGAGAGCTGGAGGGTGAGAAGGAAAGCTAGCCCTCCTCCTAATTAGGGAGAGCAGGCCCTACACTTTGCCTGGGCAACACAGTGAAGCTGGCCCTGATGGCAAAGGCGTAGGTGAGCCAGCCCTGAGTGTGGGAGAGGAGAGCTAGGTCAGCCCCTTGCCTGCTGCAGCACTTGGGAGAGTAGACCCTGCACCTTGACTGGGCAGCACAGTGGAGCTGGCTCTGGAGGTGTGGGTACAAGAGAGCTGGCCTGAGGGCATGAGAGTGGGAGAGCTGACCCTGCCTCCTGCCAATGGTAGCACTGGATGGCTCAGCTGAAGCTGGTGGTGCAGGTAAGTGAGAGCCAACGGGCTGACCAGGTCAGCTACCACCCTGGCCCAGATCCAGGACTTCGAGTTGGCACACTCTGAAATCTCTATCATCTGTGAACTGTTGAGGCATGTAAAAGAGGCAGTCCTGCTATCCAAAGCTGCAGCACCTACAGGACACAAGCCATCAACAGGATAACTGAGAGGAGTCCTAGTGAGAACCCAGTATTGATGGTGTCACAGAAGTCAGAGACCTTGAACCAGACCACTCATTGCAATGAACATTCACAAGTGAAGATGTATGGACTGAGGGATATGCTGTGAGACACACTGGGACTGAAACAATACGGCTTCCATGACAAGATGTTTTCTATGCTTTTAATTTTTGTGTGTGTGTGTTTATTATTCTGAGGGTGAGGTTGCAAGGACAGAGGGCAGATACGAGGGGTTGGGAAGATGAGTGGGACTGGGGTACATGATGTGAAACTCACAAAGAATCAATAAAAAGCCTTTTTAAAAGAAAGAGTTGCTTTGGTTTATGGTGTCTCTGCTCAGCAATACAACACTAAGATCTGAGTTCCTGAAGTGACTGACATTTGGCCAACGTCCTATTCTCAATACCCATTTTCTTGACATCTCTCAGTACTAATGAACACAACTTTGAGTTACTTGTACAAACACATTAACATTATCTTTGAGTTCTCTCCTTCTTGATGACTCATGCTACTGATAAATCAGTGGGTTTCATTTAAAATATTCTGTCATGTCTTTTTCCCATCCAAAAACCCAGAAGAGAACCCAGGGCCTGCAGAAGCTTCAAAGCTTTTGACTCTCTAGAGTTAAAATATCCATATTTCTCTTCATTGTTCTTCATGACACGATTTCCAGTCACTTCTATGAAATAACTAGATGTCAGAGAGTAAAAAAAATTATCAAGACTTGGATTTAGTCCTATGACTACACATAAAGTAGGTCAGTTACTGCTGAAGTCCTAAATGCTCGTTCAGTTAATGGAGTGAATGCAGCATTAACTTCTGTGAGAATTAGTTAATATGTATCAACTTTGTATTCCCTAAAACACCATGGTCTTTTATGAAAGAGAACAATGGAACTTTGAAATCTGAGGTGGAACTGAATATGGTAGTACACAGCTCAAAATCTATGATGCCAGCACTCAGGAGGCAGAGGCAGGAGGATCTCTAAGTTCAAGGGTACCCTGGTCTACATAGTGAATTCCAGGACAGGAGGGGTTATAATAGTGAGACCTTGTGCTAAAAACAAAGCAAAGATTATAGAAAATGATAAGTAATGTACTATTGTTTTTACAGGATCACTATTTTATCTTTTTATCTGTGTGGTAAGCTTTCTCTCCGTTTATGGAGCACACTCCTGAGGTCTTGGAGGTTGAGTGGTGTGACTGAGCTCTTTGTATTAGTTCGTTTACACTTTTGTGGTCTGTAGTGAGGGCACAGTGGGCCAGAGCAGCTCTCCTCACTGCAGCTGGAAGCAGAAAGGAGGTGCGGCAGAGAGGAGGAAACATCTCTCCAGGCCATGGTCCCCAGTAACCTGCTTCCTCCAGTTTGGTCCCATTTCCTACTTTCACCATGTCTAGCAATGCCATCATAGTAGGACGATGACAAACTCCTCAGAGTCCTATGGCTTCTCACAAGCCATCCACTGGTAACCCAGCCTTTAACATAAGAGCCTTTGGGAGAGCATTATACCTAGACTATAGTCATCATACAGGCGAGAAATGAACCAATCATCAAATTAGATGACTCCTGCAGCTCTGTTCCACAGCAGCCGAGCTGTAGGTTTGCCAAAACAATCTCAGATTCCTTTCCTATTTTCTTTTCATTTGAATGTATTACTCCTTAGAATGCCTTTCCCCAGTGTCCCTCCCTTTCAGTTCTATGATGAAGAGTTTCCCCAATTTACACCTTCTGCCCAATCTGCTGTACTTCAGAACCAAGTCACAAACCCAACTTTCTCCACAATGCCTTTTGTGCCAACTTACTGAGAACATGCAGCTCCATCTGTCGACTTTAGGATATAACATACTACTTGGGTTTATTTCCATGTTCCCTGGATCATATCCTTTTCCAGATTACAAGCTTATTGAGAAAAGCAATCATGTCTGAGATCTTTACCACATACACAGTAGACTGTCTGCAACAACATGTGGTTGTTTGGCATACTTGATACTTAATAAACATTTGCTTGGTGAATAGTTACTACATTTCATAAAATAAAAATTAGATTATTTTAATATTCTTTAGTTATCAAAATTAATATCTATTATGTTACTTCAAGTTAACTATATAGTTGGCCTTGACATCTAAAGCATAGTATTTTTCTCTCTTGCAAAAATTAGAGTTGGAACATTCATTTCTTTTGTTTCCTCAGGTCTCACCTACATTTGCAACTGACCTCTTCTGTGTCTTCAGAAACCTAGCACTACTCAACCATGCCCTGCCAACGTGTTCTCTAGCTGAAGCTTCTCCAGTGGTTTTGCACAAGTTCTGAGAGGACTATAACACCTACCACAGTAGTTCTGCTGATTCTGAAAATGTAGTTTAGAGACTGAACTGAATTCGTTGGAAGGGATATTAGGGAAGACTCACACATCTGTACCCACACCCCACTATTACGACTCCGACTCCTCCTCCTCCTCCTCCTCCTCCTCCTCCTCCTCCTCCTCCTCCACACACACACACACACACACACACACACACACACACACACACACACATACACACTTAGTATTTTAAGATACGGTTTCATTCTTTTGCTCACAGTGACACAGAATCACTCTGTGGCTGAGGCAGGCTTCAAGCATGCAGCAATCCTCCTGCAGCAGTTTCCTGAGTGCCAGAATTGCAGGTGTGAGCGACTGCACTTAGCAGAACACTAGCTGTATTAATGAAGACACTGAGGTTCCAGGAGGGAACCTGAATGATGAAGGTGAGTCAGAATCCAGATTTCCTGGCTCTACCACTCTTAACCTGTAGAAGTTAGACCCCAAGCTCTGAGCTCATAGACAGGATAATTTAAAATGCTTTTAATAAGCAAAAGGCTAAGTTAGTATGGGGCTCAGAATATTGCTTACTGGCAATATTTGACTAACATCTATTTTGTTTGTTTGATTTTTAAGACCTACTGGCCCTAGCGTAATTTGTAGGAAACATGTTGGTATGTATATCCATTTGAGGGTAATAAAAGTGTAATTTTCAGCCAGTCCTTTCCAGGTATTTTCCTTTTCATCCTTTCATTTCCTCAAGAGAAAACAGAATCAACCGAAATTAATTGCTTTTGACATCTAAGATGAATGTATGCCTTTCATACTTCAAAGCAAAAGTCAAGCTGGAAGTACAGATCGTAACTTACTAGTTCATATTGGACTTGCAATATCTGTAGGCAACTTTGCCCCTTTACATAGTACTTGATATAGTTCTCATTTAAAATAAAATTATTTACTAAGTAATAATCTGTCCTCACATAAATGACTTAAGTGATACTAGCCTTACAGGGAACTTCCTCAGATTCCTGGAAGTGGCTTACACTCTTTGGTATAGATCTGCTACAATGGAACTGAAAAACAAAATGTATGTCAGACACAGTAGCACACGCCTGTAATCCCAGCACTCAGGATGCTGAGGCAGGAAGATTGAATTCCAGGTAGCATGGGCTAGATAGTAAGACCCTGTTCTGAATCCCACTCGCCGCTCTCCCTGTCTCCCAAAGAAAAGGAAAACAAGAAACAGCCAACTACTGCTTCTATACTGAAGGTTCCCTTTTCTCTGAAATTATAATCCACAACTTGCTAGGCCAGCAGTGGACTTAAGTGAAGACAATCAGATATTCTTTTTTTTTTTTTTTTGGCTTTTTTGGAGACAGGGTTTCTCTTTATAGCCTGGGCTATCCTGGAACTCACTCTGTAGACCAGGCTGGCCTTGAACTCAGAAATCCGCCTGCCTCTGCCTCCCAAGTGCTGGGATTAAAGGTGTGCGCCACCACCACCCGGCGACAATCAGATATTCTTGTCTGATATTTTGGAGTTGGACATCAAATGGCAGCCAAATTTCTCAATGGGGCCAAAGTCTGGTGTACTGTCCAAAAAACAGGTTCATTTTTATGTGGGTGCTCTCAGAATAAAGTCACTAAAGAAAACAAAGCAGCAGACTGACAAAAAGCTAACAAGATACTGAAAGCAATGCCAAAGAAAAGCAGGAGGGAGGAGGGAGCTGCTGCATTTAATCAGACTTAATGATGATCAGGCTGACCAAGAGTCCTCAAAAAAAAAGTTAGTGACAAAAGAGGATCAATCGAAGAGAAACTTACAAAAGTAAGTTATATTAAATTATTGATTACTACATTTAATAAGTGTTAGTTGTTTTTAAGAGTTATACTTTGGTTTTGTTACTCAGATGTTTATCTATGGTAAAGTAAAATTATTTTTAAAGGCATCTCTTTAGTTTTATAATTTTTAAAAATTTTGTCCATGTTACTATGAGTAAAACAATGAACAGAATGGATATTTGCTAATTTGTCAATGTATAAGTGGGGTAATTATGAAAGACATAATTTATGAGTATGGTTCTAACACACTCATCAATAACACACTAATTTACTGTGCCAATACACCAGTGCAGAGGCCTTTCCTTACAGCTGTATTTAGTATAATATAGGCACTGTGTTAAAATTTTGATTGGGAAAATCACACGCACGCATGCACGCACGCACACCCCTTCTCCCTTACCACACTTACCAACACAAAAGGCGTTGTAGCCACCCAAACTGTTGATTTCCCCAGGCAGCCAGGAAGCAGTTACTCCTGAGTGGACATGTAGTTTCACTAGCTCTGCTCCATCATCTCCCCCAGGGTAAAGGCTCATCCCATAACTGACCAACTAGCTACAAACTGAGTTCAAGCAACTCCTTATGGAACGAATTTGTTTGATGAGCAATCACAGGATGTAAGGAAACATACTTACTGGTTTGCTGTAAAAGGCATTCTGATGAAAACATACATTAGATGAAGCACAGGAAAGTGCAGAGATTCCACGTCCTCCCTGGTGCTTGCCTCTGGTAAGCAGCAGCCTTCTAGCACTATCCCTTGGGTCGTCATGGAAACTTCACATGCATGGTGACTCAATCTCTGGCACTGGAGGCAGCTCACCTCAAAGTTCATCTTCCTAACTAGATGTTGTGAGTTGGGACTGACAGTGCCTGTTGTATGCTCTGCTAAGAACGTCTAGGTGGCCAGTCCTCATCTCTAAGAGGCCACCAGCTGTCATACACATACAAAGACACTATCACTTGTGGGTTTCCAGGATTTGGGACGTTGTATGTCAAGGACTGCAAATATATACTTAACAATATCACACTTAAATAATTCCACTAAAAACTACTTTCAAGAATATACTACTATGCTTAGTGAAAACTCTGAGACTTAAAGTACAGTGGGGCTGAGGCTGTAACTCACTGGCTGAGTGCTTGCCTACTATGTATTAGACTCTAGGCTCATCATATGGCTTTGTTGTAAGTCATACAGTTGCTATGCTACAGGCTAAAATGGAAAGCGAGTGGTTTATCCCTGGAGTCCTTAGCTTTTGTGACTATTCCTATACTGTTCTTTAGACCTTGCTTAAGAGTAGAACCAACTTATTAACAGTAAGTCCAACTCCAAATTCAAATGCTAGCAGTTTCTTCGCTTCCATCTGATCTGTAGAATGCAGTCCAGGACCATAGTGGATGCCTGAAGCTGTGTACAATACTGGATCCTCAACATGGTGGCAATGCTCACCTTTCTGCTTAAAGGGTGCACCGCACAGCTTGTCATGGTGCATGTGAACTGTTAGTGGCATTGCTCATGCGCTTTGGAGTCATTAAATGACGTTATTTGAACATAAGCACTGCCATTCCACACACTCAACTTGATAATCAAGGCTAAGTGACAGATGGACAGAGAATGGGAAACACCAGGAGAAGGAATGTGCTCTATCTTAGGAGGCAAGATTTCATCATCCGATCTAGAAATGCACAAAATTTAAAACTGAGCAACTGCTGAGATAGAGCCAGACGTGGGCATCTGGAATGATTTCCGTGAATTAAAAAAAACCAAACCAAACCACCCCAATCGCCACCATTTTCTCCAGGAGGTGTCCACTCACCGTCTACTAGCATGGCGACTTCCTCTCAGTATCGCCAGCTGCTGAGTGACTATGGACCTCCATCGCTAGGCTACACCCAGGGAACTAGAAATAGCCAAGTGCCTCAGAGTAAATATGCAGAGCTGCTGGCCATTATTGAAGAGCTGGGGAAAGAGATCAGACCCACATATGCAGGGAGCAAGAGCGCCATGGAGAGACTAAAACGAGGCATCATTCATGCCCGAAGCCTGGTTCGGGAGTGCTTGGCTGAAACAGAACGTAATGCCAGGTCCTAGCCCCTGGCCAGTCTGAAGGCCCATCTCGCTACTCCGTGGAGATGAGAGGCTTTGTTCAAAATGGCAGTAATTTTTCTACCACAGTCATTAAGCTCTGAACCCACACTCAAATGATTGGGAAGACATTTTGCAGTAACCAACGGTGTGCATTTTAAGTAGTTAGGAATGACCCAGCTCTTTTTTCTTTCTGAGCATTTGAAAGATGTTTGTGAAGCCACTTCACAGCAAGCTATCCTTTGTCCCCAAATGCCAGTGTCCCCTTTAACCTCCCTTTGAATACACTTTCCATTTGCATCACCCCAGTTGACTTCCTTTCCATGAGCTCACCTGCCTCTGAGGAGTTGAGTGCAGACCACAGCACGTTTGCTTAGTAGCTGGCCCGCCTGTGTACAGTGTAGACCCTGCTTCATGGAGCTTCTCTGCTTAAGCGTTTGCATGACTGAGTGCTTTGAAGTCAATCTTTAAAATGCACAGGTTATAAATACAGAAGAAAGAACAATCTACCCAACCTACCAAGCACCCTGCAAATGTCCATCCTGAGATTGTAGATCTCAGTTCCGTGTTTACTGTGAGCCCATCACAACATCTGGAAGAAAACGACTGAAACTGTTGCATCTTTGTATTTATTACTTGATGTAATAAAGCTTATTTTCATTTAAAAAAAAAAAAACTGAGCAACTGCTCAGTCCTGGGATCTTCCATTTAATGTTTTCAGACCATTAACTGCACGTAACTAAAATTGAAAAAAACAGACCCAAAGACCAGAAAAGTGCTGCCCATGTGACTCAGTCTTGTGCTTCCTCCTGTTCTGTCCATAGCTGAAATCTATGCTTCTCTTCTCTCAGGTTGCTTCTCTCAGGCAGCCAGCCCCTTACTGTGGGGATGGTGTGTCTCATCTCAGGGTCTTCTGTGGACTGCAGCACAGATGCTTTGCTGACAGTGTGGGAGAGGAGCCTAAGATTGCTTCTTTAATGCTACTCACCTGCGTCCAGTTTGTTACATCACATTCAAATGGTCCAGGAATCACCTTTTATTCTTATTTTAAAAAATCCAAACAACTAGACGCACAGAGGCCCACACTACTTGAGGGCCTAAGGAAGAGGGTCTCATGGCCATTCTCCTCTATCTAGTTCCTTCAGTTACTCCAAGAGAACATTCATAAAAGACTGAGGCGTGAACAGGTGATTCAGACAACACAATTTTAATCTTTTGGGAAGAATTTTACTTGTATAAAATCTAGCAGGATATAGAAATGTTAAGTATTTAGATGGATCAATGATTGGAATAAATAAGAATATTTGGGTTATATGTTTGGCTCTGTTATTTTCTGTGGGTGCACATTTTTGAAGCAGGCTCTCCTTAGGTAGCTCAAGCTGGCCTCACACTGGCTTCCTGGCCTCCCACGCAGCTGCAGTTACAGGTCAGTGACACCCTGCCCAGTTCTGAGTGCCTAATTCTTGATGTAAAAAAAGAGATCAGAGACAAGTCACCACTACCACAGCTGCTAGCACTCACATCTGTCAGCCACTGGCAAGGAGCAGCCTGAAACTGGTGTTCCCAGACACAGACCCCTGGTCTTCAGTCCTTGCTTTGTTTATCTGGCGATGAAGGGTTCCTAGGGAGGCTTAGCAGTGCCTCAATTCTCTGAGCGTCTTCTTCAGGTTGAATCTTCTCTAAGGCACTTTCAATTTCCCTAGGAAGGAACTCGGTGACTTGCAGACTGCTTCTCCTACAATCAAAGGATAAGCACATGTCAGTGCTGCTTTAGCACATGTCTTTACAGAGACACACCCTCCCTGCTTTGCTATGAAACTTATGAGCAATTACTGGTCCTGCCCTCCTACCCTTCAGACCTGAGGGACTGGGAGTGTCCACCACTATGTAAACGCTCCCAGCAGACCATGGCTAATGAAAACTATGTGATAATGATCTAAGTGAAGCCATACAGGATAATGCTACAGATACCTATTTAGGAAGAGCAGAATCAGATACATATTTATGAAAAGTAGAATCAAATTTCTAACAGATCGGTTCTTTTCCTAAATAGAATCTTAGTATCTTTCTTTGATTATCAAGGCCACCTACAACTTAAGTCTCAACTCAATCAAATTTGACCATTCTTCTACACTACCTGTGTCTAGACTTCTATATTTTCTGCTAGCACAATTTTAAAAATCATTTCTCTATATTATTTTCAAGCAGAGGCACAAATATAAAAGTCACATACACATTTAACCTAACTCTTCTTAGAAATACTATATACATATTCACGACACATGTGAGCTATACATTTGAATTTTTTTAAATTTTACTTTATGTGTATGGGTGTTTTGATGCATGTATGTCCGTGCACCACATACATGTCTGATGACTACAAAGGCCAGAAGAAGATATCAGATTCCTCCAAAATACAGACAGTTATAAGCTGCCATGTGGGTGCTGGGAACTGAATCTAGGTCCTCTGGGAGAGCAGCCAGTGTCATCTCTCTAGCTTCTACATTTTTTTAAAAAGAAGATTTTTTTTTAAAGACTTATTTATTTTTATTTATATGAGTACACTGTAGCTATCTTCAGACGAACACCAAAAGAGGGCATGAGACCAAGTCTCAATATATAAACCTGGAACACATGGTGATCACCTTGCCTCAAGCCCCTGGTGTTTAAAAAATAGGAAGCACCCATCTATACCACCACCCGCCAAGGCTCAGGGGAATATTACAGAGGAGGAGGGCAGAAGGGCGTCGAGAGCAGGAGGAACTAGGAGGCTATGAGCTCCGTCTTCCCGGCACAGCATAGCCACAGCCTGGTGGCCACAGAGCAGCTGTGAGCACCTGCACAAGGCTGGACCAGTCAGAATTCCTTCGTGGGTCAGAGAGAGCCTTTATTTTCTCTTTATTTATTGTCTTTCAATGGTTACTGAGGAAGCAGAAGATGATTTCTTCAGAAGTATAGCCTCTTTAAGTTGCTTATGCTCTTGTAAACAACTATTTTTTGATCTTGTAGTAAACAATGATCTTGTAGTAAATCTAGTTAAACCTACCAAGTCTGTCTGTCTGTCTGTCTGTCTGTCTGTCACACACACACACACACACACACACATACACAAATGGAGAGAAAGAAAGAAACAAAGAAAGAAAGAAAGAAAGAAAGAAAGGAAGAAAGAAAGAAAGAAAGAAAGAAAGAAAGAAAGAAAAAGAAAGGAAAAAAGAAAGGAAAAAAGGAAGGAAAGAAGGAAACTCCAAGGAAGAAAGGACAGGCAGACCTAAAGAAACAGCCTGGTCAGATTAAAAAAAATAAAATCAGTGCCTTTCATTTTCCTATCCCCTAATGAAATGACAACACAGACTAGAAGAACTGACAGACTCAGGAAAAGCCACCTGCTGTGTCCTGAGCATGCTTCCGAGAATCCCTATTCATTATCTGGGCCATGCTAGGAGGTCAGACGATCAGCCTTTCCAGGCTCCTTACCACTCTTCAAGTCTTTGCTCATGCAATGCCTTCCTGTTCTTCTGTCTTCTCTCCTGAACTGTCTCACCAGAGTACTTTTCAAGGGCCATCAGCAAGCTTCCCATCGGCGTGCTGAGGACAAAACACAAGGAGATAGTCATTAACCCACTCAACACAGGAGTGTCCTGATCATCCACAGCAGAGCCACTTGCACAATCAGATACAGAAAAATATTAAGGTAATGTTCTTCCTGAGTTGTACAACAAAGAAAAACAATCACTGTAGTTTCTTTGACTGGTATAAAACGGCAAGAGATCTAGAAACGGTTTGTTTGTTTGTTTGTTTGTTTGTTTAAATCATGTATAAGAAATAAACCAACAGCCCCGTTGTCCTTTGCCACCTGGGCCATGAGAGTGGGTGAGGTGACCCTGCCCCTTGCTGGCTGCAGCACTCAGGAGAGCTGGTACTGGACCCGCCTGGGCAGCCCAGTAGAGCTGGCCCAGTGGGTGTGAACATAAGAGAGCTGGCCCTGCCACTCATCTGCCGTGAAGGGAAGTGGGAAAGGGGGTGATGTCCTCCCCACGCCCTACCCTTCACCACCTGTGGTAGTTGGGAGAGATGGCCCAGAGGTCATAAGAATGGGAGAGCTGGCCCTGCCCCTCACTGGTGGGAAAGAGGACCCTGTATCTAACCTGGGCAGCATAACAGAGCTAGTCCTGGTGAAGGGGGAGTGGGTGAGCCAGCCCCTAGGGTGTGAGAGGAAAGCTAGCCAAGCCCCTGACAGCTGCAGCACTTGGGAGAGTAGGCCCCACACCTTGACTGGGCAGCATAGTGGAACTGGCTCTGGAGGCCTGCAGGCATGAGAGTGGGAGGGCTAACCCTGCCTCCTGCCAATGGCAGCACTGGATGGCTGAGCCTGAGCAGTGCTGGAGAGCTCACCCTGGTGGGAAGATAAGTGACCAATGTGCTAACCAGGCCTGATCTAGGACTCTGAGTTGGGCCACCCTAAATTCTCTATCTTCTGTGAACTGTTAGGGCACATGTAAGGGTCAGTCCAAAGCTGATCCAAAGCTGCAGCATCTACAGGACACAGGGCAACAACAGTATAACTGGGAGGAGTCCTAGTGAGAATCCAATATTGATGGTGTCACAGAAGCCAGAGATCTCAAACCAGACCAATGACTCCTTGCAATGAACATTTGCAAGTGAAGGTGTGTGGACAGAGGGCATGGACAGAGGGGTGCACTATGGGACACTGTAACATACCACAGCTTCCACGAGATGCTGCCTATGCTTTGTTTTGTTTCTTTTTTTGTTTGTGTGTGTGTTTTTATTTGGCGGTGTGGGAGGAAGAAGCTGCAAGGGCAAGGGTGGATACCAGGGGACAGGGAGCTAAGTGAGGCTGGGTGCATGACGTGAGACTCACAAGGAATGAATAGGCAAGACAGACAGACAGACAGACAGACAGACAGACAGACAGACAGACAGACAAAACACAAGGACTAGTTCATCCGTATAGCACCAGCCCTGGAGAGGAAGACATGTGGTGGGAATCCTTTGGTGGAAGAAGGAAGCTACTAGCTGTGAGGAACAGAGTCATTAAACATCTTCACACTCTAGAGTCTGGTATAACTGACAGCTGCTATGTCACCAGCTATGTCCTGAGAGATTGATTTGGGGCAGCAGTTAAGAGCACTTGTTGCTCTTGCAGAGGACCCAGGTTTAAGGGACCTAATGACCTATTTAGTCCTATGAGGGCAGTAGGCATGCACTCATATATACATGTAAACTAAAGATAAATAAATATCAAAAACAAAACCAAAACAACTTCATTAGGACCTGGAGAGAAGACTTGCATTTGGATGCCCAGCACCCATGTAAACAGTCAGGTGTGCAGCATGTGCCTACACATTTTCCTGTACTGAGGAGGCAGAGTTAGGGCCATCTTAAGGCTTGCTGACTACACTGTCTAGCCAATCAGTGAGCTCCAGCTTCAGTGAGTGTCCCATTTTAAAAGTAAAGTGGATGGGGCTGAAAACATAGCTTAGTGGTAAAGCCCTTTCCTGTCTTGTGCAAGGCCCTAAGTTTGAACCCCAGTATGACAAAAATATAAATAAAAATTATAAGGCAGAGAGTGATTAAGGAGGACACCCAACATTGATTTCTGGTCTCCACATTCATGAACAAAAGCCCACGTGCATACAATGCG